CCGGCAGCCTCTTGGCGCCCAAGTGGGCCAAGGTCACCTACGATGTCGTGCACCGGGCCGACATCGCGCAGACTGCGTACAAGCTGACCTCGCGTGCACACGGCTGCTCAGTCGTCGCTGCCACACCGTTTGTAGAAGGTCGTGCGTGCGGCCCGCTGCTGTCGGGCTCGCTGAGCCTCGTCGACGCCCTCTTCGAAAGGCACATCGGCCCGCTCGGCGACCTCTTCGCCTCCTTCTCCTTTCAGTCTAGGGTGCTCGGCGCTGCGCTGTCTCGGCAGCTCGGCGAGAGGAGCAGCCTCGAGGCAGAGGCGGAGGTGGGCCCCGACGGACGAAAGGTGGCCTTCGGCGGAGCGCTGGCCACTGCGTGCGGTCCGGCGGGCATGGACCTCGAAGCTCGCGCTAAAGTGCGGGACGGCGAACTCTCTCTCGACTGCACAGTCGGCTACGCCGCGGAGCTGGCGGCGGGGCGCACGCTGAGGGCGACATTCTCACCCAGACCCTCGGGGCGGCTCTCGGCGCAGATCTCCGACCGGGCCCTCGAGCCCGGTGCGGCGTGGATCATCCAGGCGACAGCATGGCCCGCCAGGCGGATGCCAGAGGTCACGGTGAGAAGGTCGTGCAGCTTTTGAGATGCGGTTTATTATTGGATATTGCGTACATACACGTCAGCGTAATGGCTTTCCTAAAGGGTGTGGACCGTGAGTTGAGGAAATCGAGGGACGCCTCGGCGCGTCAGCTCGGCTCGGCGTAGCGATAGTGGCCAGCGCAACTCGCCTGGACTCAACGCTCAGCCAGGAGCTCCCGCACGCGCTGGCGCGAGTCACATGGCGCATGCAACGCGTCTGAATGCTCGCCTCGCCTCGCGCAAATGCGACCGTCCTCGCAGCCGACAGTCCACCGCCTGCTAAAGAAGCACAGCGACGAATGCGGCACCGGCGACACATGGCAGGCTGGTCATGACGCAGTCATAGGGTGTTGTGTGCCGTCGGAGTGACTCTCTGTGTGTCA